TTTGATTATAATGTGGCAAAGGGACTTCTTTTTGTGGTCCAATCTATTTGGTGTTTTGTAAGCTTCTTGTACATTCATAGACATATCCTTATTTAGGTTGGGGATTTTGTTGAATAAGTTTTCTGTACCTTTGAGCTGAATTTCTTCACCTTCTTCTATACCTATTTTTCATGGGTTTGATCTTTTCACGGTGTCCCATATTTCCTGGATATTTTGTGTTAGGGATTTGTTGGACTTGAGAATTTTTTTGGTCGATGACTGTATACCCTCTAATGAGTCTTCAACATCTGAGATTCTCTCTTCCATCTCTTGTATTCTATTGGTGATAAAATGTCAGTGATTCCTGATCATTTACCCAGCTTTCCTATTTCTAGCATTCCCTCATTCTGTGTTTTCTTTATTGTTTCTAATTCTGTTTTCAAACCATGAACTGTTTGAATTGTTTGGTTGTTTTTTCTTGGTTTTCTTTAGATTCTCTAAGGGATTTTTTTATTTCTTGAATTTTTTGGTTTGTATTTCCTCCATTTCATGTAATTTTTTGCTTGTTTTTTCTTCTATTTCTTTAAGGGATTTTCTTGTTTCCTCTTTAATGGTCTCCATCATCTTCATAAGATAATTTTTAAGGTCTATCTCTTCGTTACCCTCTATGTTGAGCTTTTCAGTTCTTGTTGGTGTGGAGTCCTTAGGTTCTGGTGGTGTCATATTGGTCTTTTTGTTGTTGAGTGTGCTCTAACTCTGTCTTCTTCCCATCCTTTCTTCCAGTGGGTGCAGTTGGGGTCTCTCCCTCTCTCAGGTGGTAGGCGGAGGGCTCTCACTCTGGCAGAAGCAGGATAGCAGAGGACAGTGGATGCACAAGGGTGAGGTGTGTCTGGACTCGGGCTGGGCCTTCCCGGTCTGGGCAGGTCCACTCTTGTTCCAGGTGGGCTCAGGCAAAAGAGAGCAGCTGTTGATGGGGGAAGTTGGGGGGCAGAGCAGTGGCCAGACTCACCTGCAGCTTGGCTACCCACAACAGGACAGAGACAGTATGCTGAATTTTAAAAGATCTTGCTTCACCAGTTCAGGAGACACCAACAAATTCATAAGAACCCAAGGATAGCAAAAATGTGGAGGAAGGGCAGATCCATTTCTCACTTGTGTTGGCACAGCACTCCTTTGTTGCCACCCATCAATAGTGCTCCAGTCTCTTGGACATGAGAATCCCTGAACTGGAGTTAGAATTTATGCCAACATTTCCCTTTTGATCTTGCTCTTTGAACCTTTGAATGAGTTACACCACCAGCCTTCTTGGTTGGTTAGTGTATCTCTATAGCAGATTGTGAGACATCTGAGCTTCTATAATGACATATGACAATACAAAAAAGTAAGTCAGCCTCCCTATCCCATTTTTATATTTTAATTCTATGTTATATATGAATATAATACTATACAGTACAAATGTAATTCTTCATGTACATGTTTATGTATAAATACTATTTAAAATGTTTTCTGAATTAAGCCATGTTTAATACATTTTATTAAATGCTAAAATATTTACTAGGTCTATTGATGTACACATTATCATCTGTAGCTTACAAATGACAAGACACACAAAGAGTTTAAATAACATACTAATAATTTCAAATAATCCTTCCATCATACAGTAACTTAGACTTAAAAATACTCACTATTGCTCCTCCATGCCTCATATCTATGCTTTGTTATCATTGGTGGTAAAGCTATGTAAAGTCTTCAGACAGTCCTGAAGCTCATGTTCCTCCTGTCTTAGTCTCCCAAGTGATATGTACAGATATGAACCAGTCTGCCCACATAAACCTTGCTTTACTTCTTCCTCCTTTCACATAATAAATTAGGATTCATAATGAACTCAAATAGGTTTAAGTCTGGAACCAGAACTGGAAATTCATGAATACGAGTGCTCACTTGTAAGGAAACTGGTGTCAATGCAGTATAAATTCCTTACTTGGAAATACTGGGAATCTCAAGGTATATGCAATCATCATTTCTTTAATTTGGGAAATCTGTCTTTCATTCTTTTAAAAGACAGTGAACATCATGTTTTAAAAGGCCTCATCCCACTGTGGTCCTCATACTATTATGCACTAGAAATGAGGGATTGTTGTTTTCCTGTGAGAATGCTGAACCTCCATCACCAGATCATTGTATTTCCCTCCTTTACAATAACAAACCAGTGGCCTTATTCTGTGTCTTCCTCAGAAAATAGTGTATTTTTGCTTCACTGGAGCAGATGAACAGTGCAGATAATGGTTCCTGGATACACTGCAATCCTCACAAGTGGAGGCAAGAGTTGGTAGAACATGTTACAAACACTCAAAATGAACTGTATGTTATTAGGAAATTCCATAAATGTAAATAAAGACTATATTTCCCTGAGTCCTGAAAAAATACTTTAAATTACACCCATGGAAGAAAATACTTTAAATTATACCCACAGAAGAAAACATTACACATTGTATGCAAGTAAGGGAAATCACACATAAATCATTTTTATTTCAGTAAACCTGCTAAAAACACCTTTCTTCAAACAAGAAAATCACCACTCCCTTATATAAAAAAGTGCCACAATAGAATTCCTTCTCATTCGGTAAATTTAAAAAAAGCTTACACTGATGTGTGAGAGTCTGTTTTGTCTGCATAAATCTACTTTAAGGGAGAGACTTGACGCAGTACATAGACCAAGCCATTTCTCATAATCATTCATTTAGTAATTCTAAACCTAAAAAAATCACAATCCCTACTAAATACTAATAACTATGGAGACAAAGTTCATCTGTATAATATCTTGCAGTTATTAAAAATCAAACTAATTTATTATGTGGATACATTTCATGCACACTCTGATCTGATCTTTATGTTGATGAAGTATTTAGACGTGACTATATTATACCCCTGACATTGCTTGTCAGAGTCCTTATTACCTGCTTATTCAGATTTACTGAAATTTAGTATACTACTAAATAATTTGAAGTGCAGAACAATTAGCATCTGAACTTCTAATAGGGGTAGTACTCTTCAGTCAATGTATAGTGTGAATGCAGCTAAGCACAGCTAAAAAAGCATAGGCCAGGATGAGCAGAAACTGACAAGGCAAAGAAAGACAGATAATAAGAGAACTGAGACTGATAAATTGATGGGGACTAGGAATAGAACTGGACTCACTCAGACTACAATGGGACGGTATATAAACTCTACACACAAACACATTTGGTAGAAGAAATCCTGTTCTGAAAGAATGAAGGCCAAATACTGCAGACAAAGGGAGGGCATGGGGTTTTCTCCACCACAAAATCTGCTGGTTTTAGTCAGCACCAAAACATACCATGAATTCAGAATAAAGCTTAACATCTGAACCAAACACAAGAAGGATCAATAACAGAAAACTGCCCATGAAGGAGAAAATAAGAGATGTCTCCTATACAAGCAAGATGGTCCACCACAAAATCTGCTGGTTTTAGTCAGCACCAAAACATACCATGAATTTAGAATAAAGCTTAACATCTGAACCAAACACAAGAAGGACCAATAACAGAAAACTGCCCATGAAGGAGAAAATAAGAGATGTCTCCTATTCAAGCAAGATGGCATCACCTCAGAATTCTGTACATAACACTTAAAATAGTAACAAAGTATTTCAGTGGTGCTAGACTGAAAATCCCACATATTACAGCCCATAGAATGGGGAAGAAGTGTAACAGGTTAGGCTGCTGCTTGCTGCTATGACAAATGGTCAGGGCATCCAAGAAAAAATGTGAGCCTTGGGACCAAAATGCACATGCACAAACTGAGCAGAAGAACACAAAGGGTCACTACTACTGAACCAACAGGTGGGCTACAAAAAATGTGAGCCTTGGGACCAAAATGCACATGCACAAACTGAGCAGAACACAAAGGGTCACTTCTACTGAACCAACAGGTGGGCTAGTATCACCTCAGAATTCTGTACATAACACTTAAAATAGTAACAAAGTATTTCAGTGGTGCTAGACTGAAAATCCCACATATTACAGCCCATAGAATGGGGAAGAAGTGTAACAGGTTAGGCTGCTGCTTGCTGCTATGACAAATGGTCAGGGCATCCAAGAAAAAATGTGAGCCTTGGGACCAAAATGCACATGCACAAACTGAGCAGAACACAAAGGGTCACTTCTACTGAACCAACAGGTGGGCTAGATGGGGAGAGAGCCATCACCTATGGTTTGTGCTTTATCATGCAGTCCCCTGCAACCTCCCAATATGCTAGCTCATGACTACATGGTGACTCTGGGTCCTTAGTCTTCACCTATGGTTTGTGCTTTATCATGCAGTCCCCTGCAACCTCCCAATATGCTAGCTCATGACTACAGGGTGACTCTGGGTCCTTAGTCTTTTCCTTCCTTCCTCATCTGTAAGTGGATCCATATGCAAAGGTCTTTTTAAGAATGTCTTTAAATAGTTGTTTTACTTAGCTGCTTGTGAACATGTATGCATGTATGTGTGTGTGAGAGAGTGAGAGAGAGAAAGAGAGAAACTGTGTTGGGTGTTTTGTTGTGGGTGGGTGGGTGTGTGGGAGAGAGAGGAAGAGAGAGAGAGAGAGAGAGAGAGAGAGAGAGAGAGAGAGAGAGAATATGCATGCAGGTGCATACATTAGTATGGGTACCTGTAGAAACCAGAAGAAGTATCAGATCCTCTGAAGCTGAAGTTACAGGTTCTAGAAACTGGCTTGGGTCTCCCCAGTTCCAAATTCAAAGACCTTATAAAGCTTCCCACACTTTCTTTTCAGTGATTAAAATTTTCAAGACAGTATAAAACCTTTACTTTCTAAGAATAATATTCTAAATGAAGAAATTTAAAAGGAAAAGCAGAAAAATTCTGAGCTAATTAAATGAAGATTAGTGCTACCAGAAACATAAAATAACTATTAACTTACAACATTTTTTTACACTCATACTTATACAGTTCATGTGGATATGTTTCAAGATGTTTGGCTTGTCCTAAGCACCTACCTTGTGGCTGTCGACTGGGATGGTATATCTGAAGGTCAAAAGGCTGTGCACTGGTCTTCTGAATCACAGTGACATTATGCCCTGTCCACTTGTTGGCTTTGGCCAGTGTGTTGGTTCTCCAGTCTGTCCAGTATACCTCACTCCCATACAAAGACACAGCAAAGGGATGTGACAGGTACTCATGTCCTCTGATAATTTCTATCATGTTTGTTCCATCATAGAAGGCTGAGTAAATAGCATCTGACCTAGAGAAAGGTCAGTACAGCAATGATTTATCAAAGCCACTGAAGGAGTCCAGTGATGTAGTTATGCAAATCAGACAAATGGTAAAGTAATTAACTCTATGGACCTATATCTAATATTTTCTAAAGCAAAACAAAAACAACTACAAAAACACAAAATACGGTCTCACTGTATGATACCCATATATTAGAATACTTAACAATACAGTTAAAAACACGGAAAAAGTAAATGAAAATACAAAAGAATATTTTTAACCTGGCATCTGTCCAAACTATCCTTTTTTCAAAGTGGTCCACAGTCAGTCCATTAGGCCATGCCCCAGTTTTCATGTCTTTATAGATAGTTTTTCTCCCAGCACCACTCATAGAGGCAGATTCAATTCGAGGGAAATTGGCATCCCAGTCTGTCCAGAAAAGAATTCTGAAGAAAAAGAAATAATGACATTGTTTCATTCCTTCATTTCCAGTGTTTATCTTATGCTTACCACATAAGGAGAAGTTTCCTAGGTAAAAGTTGCAATAAAAAAGCCTGTATTTTCTAAGTCAGTGGCTTCAAGTACATCGGAAGACAAACCATGTGAGTTCATGTATATGGAATTACAAAGTGTGAAATGTTTTGAAGAAAAGGTTGTAATGAGGAGAGTAGTAGTTGGTAAGAATAGAGGGTACAGAATAGTCTAACAGGAGAAAAATGAGGCTGCTTCAGGCTCAGAAAAAGACCAGAGCTCCAAGGTGTAGTCAGAGAGGGACGAGGAACAAGAAATAGAACAGGGTCATCAAACAGCAAGGGAGCAGGTGGAACACCACCCAGGAGCTCTTGGGGATTTTACTTAGAGGAATTACTAATGATCTAATCATGAGGATATTGTGAACAAAGCCTCCTAAAGAGAAGCCTTACCTGCAGATTAACTGACTCACTAGAATTCCAATGATGTGTAGAGACTGGAATGTTCCAGGCACAAAGCTATTTGCCATACCTTGGACTAGCTGTCGACCACCCCAAAGAATAGCTATTCCTTGCCAACTTTGTGTCAGAACTAAGCCCCTGTAATAGTATACAAAAACCCTGTGGATAACTTAGCAGACCCCTAACTTTCAATAATCCAAAGCCAATTATATCATCATACATCATCTGATGACCTGTAGAAAAGCTTCCCCCATGCTTTTATGACTGCATCGATGATGAACCCACCAATATATTTTAAAGTTGCCTTGAGCTATGATTCTCTTTGTTCTACAAACTAGAAAACTTCATACAACTGCTTAAACATTGGGAAATTGAGTGGGGCTGTGGTCACTGAAAATGGCTCCAGAATAAACAATTGCCTAGTCCCTTTAGAATGTGAGAGTATTGTTTTATTATGTGAACAATATGTTTCTCAGTAGCTTATTGTGATACCCTTTTAAAATCATTAGCAACTTCTGGGTGTTTTCACAGATATGCTGACTGGAAGATTTCTAAAAAAAAAAAAAGATCAAATTGCCTGTTGTTTGTTCAGGGAAATATTTGATGTTTGGAAAAGCACAACTGTAAATAATATCACCAGAGGGGATAAGACTGATAATTATTGAAGCTGAGTAATAGGTGCGATTGATTTTATCATGCAAATAGTTTTAGTTTATGTGTTGATCGTTCAATTATAAAAGTTTAAAAATACAGATATCTCAAAATAAAATAGGTAAAAATATTCAAATGTACTGGAGGATATATATTAAATATCTAACACTTATTTCTTTGTCTGTTTTAAAAATTACAATTCTTTAAAGAAAATGAACAGATATCTCAAAATAAAATAGGTAAAAATATTCAAATGTACTGGAGGACATATATTAAATATCTAACACTTATTTCTTTGTCTTTTTTAAAAATTACAATTCTTTAAAGAAAATGATGTTTTGAATTACACCACTAATTATAGAAAATAATGTTAATAGTAATATATGAAAATGTAATAAATGAACAAATTTTCAATTTTATATGCACTTAGTGTTTTGCCTTCCTTTCTGTCTGTGTGTGGGTGTCAGGTCCACTGGAACTGGAGTTAGAGACAGTTTGAATCACCATGTGGGTGCTAGGAATTGAACCCAGGTCCTTTGAAATAGCCATCTCTCTAGCCCCAGAGTATACAAAATTTTTAATATGTTTTATTAAATCAAACATGGAACAAAGCTTCATTACTATGAGGGTGGTACATTCTTCAATTAAGTAGTTGGAGAAGATAAAAAGTTGCAGACCTGGACCATAATAATTTCTTTAGAGCTCTCTTTACCATTCTAACTATTTACTGCTGCAGCTGGCAATATGATCCTGGGAGAATAGAGCCTAAAAATGAGGCCAACTAAAGACTCATGCAATGGGCAACTTTATTCAGAGCACAGGACAGTTTATGCTCAGAGGGTTAAGAAGGGTCATCTGAGTAAAGTGTCCAGTCACAAGGAAAAGCGACATGTGACAAAAACGTGTTTCCTCCCTAAAGGCACATGAAAAACAACAGCTGAAGTAAAAGCACTCTGATCCACTATACCTGGAAGGATCAAATAAACACATTACAAAACCAATTCTCTTTTGAAGAAACTGAGATCACAAGAATCTTGCATTGTTTTCTTACAAACATTCAGTATTCTCACATGTTCCATTCTTAGACTGTGTTCTGACACTTACCAATTCTTGATCTTTGCTGTATTGGGCCTATCATTTTAACAGAATAGTAACAATAATAAAACAAACCTTTTGAAATGTATTAACTTAACAAAATCCTAGTTTTCCACCAATCAAATTAAGAGTGTTGTCAAAGAGCATCTCTGGTTTAAAGAGAATTTCCCCATATCTTCATTAACTTGTCTAACTGGTGTGTCATCTAATATATTTGAAAGGTGTATTGATTTGCTCCAGAATAAACCATCTCTTACTGTATGCCCTTTAAGGTGAATGCTGGTTTTTATTTTTGTTGCTGTTGTTGGTTTTGATTTTTTAGTTGTTCCTTTTTATTTTTTCAATCCTTGTTTGCATGTTTATGTGTTTGTTGTTTTGAAGAGCATACCTTTGGGTTCAATTTAAAAGACACTATAAATTCTCAAACATACTTCTAGAGAGCAAAATATGGGATAGATCGATGTGGCATTCTAACTGAAGTGACATTAAAAAGTGTGTGTGTATGTGTGTGTGTGTGTGTGTGTGTGTGTGTGTGTGTGTGTGTGTGTGTTCTTTAGTGAGCTATGTGATATTAAACTTCTATCATATTTAGTGGGAAACTTTAGTCAATTTTTGTAGAAGAATATGTTCTAAAAACAGTTCCCTTCAAAATGTTCTTAACCTTGCCACAACACAGTTAACACAAGTGACATTCATGGTTGATTTCAAGGCTCATTGTTTCAAAAAGTTCCCAGAACTCTTTTGTGAATTTTACAAGTTGGTACTATAACAACATCATTCTTTTTATTTTCCTTTCTAAATGGAAAAATGTGTTAAAACTTTAGTTCCTCAAGTACAGGAAGACTGGATCTTTGTATAACTCAGAGATGCTCAGCCTTAATTGTTTTTTTTTTTTTAAAGAGAAACTATGGGCTACATTTTTGCAGTTTCTGTTTTCAGATTAAGCTGGGCAATGGACCCTGAACAACCTGGACCATCGTAGTCTAATCTGTCAGGTAAAGTTGAAAACGGTGAAAGGAAACGATCTTGGCAAAGCAGAGGTTATTTTTGTCTTTTAAAGCTAACAATGGATAGGGATTGCTGTAATTTACTGTATTTCCAGAGAAAATTTAATAGAATTGCTTCACTAATGTTCACAAATGCTGGTTCAGTAGATGTCAATTACTAGGACACCTGAAAAGTAAATGTGAGCAATAGAGAATGAAACAAATTGTCCCGGGTGGGACTGAGCATGAGCATGGCGAAGTTCAAGAGCACTGGAGGACTCTGCACATTCACAACTGCTGATCATGCCCCAATAAGAAGCTTGGTGTTTCAGAGGTTCACATCCTCCTTCAGGCCACTTCAGCAAGAAGTTCAACTCGAAAATGAATGAAAGAAGGCAGAAAAATCGCCCTTCCTAAGAGCCACATTACTATCTTAGAATAGCCTGTTACTTCAGAGACTGTGTAGAAAGCCTGAACACTGGAAATGCCGAACGAGGCGGATGCACTTTGTAATATACGCAAAGGTGAGTGAGTGGTTGTGTGCTAGTGAGTGTAGATGGTTGTGGAAACACTAATATTATTCGTCTCTCCAAAAATGAGTCACAAAGGCTCCCTGGATTCCTAAAATTCATAGGAGACATGCATGTTTTATAGGGTTGATGTTATGACAGTCATTTGTTTGTTGGTTTTCTCTGACACACTGAGTAAACAAAGTGGCCGAGGATAAACCTTTCTTTTTATTTGTTATTGTAAATGAAATTTATAGTATTCCTCATCAGTTCTCCTTTTCTGTGTAATCTAAGGCCTTAGAGGTGGTATGTAAACAAAACCAGCCCACAAGCATACTTTGTTTAACAAGCATGCATTGGTCACTTTTCTGTGCTCCAAGAGCTGTGATGGACTTTCAAAAATTGAAAGAGAGATCAATCCACAGTCCATTTCGCTAAGGTTTTCTTTATTCAGATAACACCAGCCAAGCGCAAGCCAAAGCGGGCCAGGGGCAGCAAGGCAGCCAGGCCAGAGAGAAGGGAGAAGGGAGAAGAGGGTCTCCACGTGTGCGTGTCCCTTAAG